TTCTGACTCAAAACAATTATAAGCCACACACTCTTGTAAACAAGTTTTGTAAACAATATATTGATAATTATGTTTGTGTGCTTATTGTGTTGTATACAACGAGTGTATATATGTACATTGCACCTTACTTTGGTCTCATAGGCCACATAAGTTATGTGAAAAAATAAAATAGTGAAAAAAACAAAAAACCTTCAATTACAAGTAAACTAAAGTTTACTGGGTGAGCGGCAGTCGCCGCTGTTGCCATACGCGGCTCATTTTCTGCAAACTTCACGGCTCTATATCTCGGTAAGTACGGATGGCAAAAATTTTTTTTTGGACTAAAACACTCAGAAAAATAATCTTAACATTTTCATAAGAAAAAATAATTTTTTTTTTTTTTTGAATATTTGGCGACATAGAATGACAGTTTCAGAGAGGGGCCTGAAACAGTCAAAGGGTTAAAGGAACGGGAGGTACAGAGCTCTATCGACAGATTTGTTGTGCGACAGAGGTCCAGTGTCTCTCAAGCTGGTCCTAGTGGCATTAAAAGAAGAAGGGAAGTAACCCCAGAAAAGGACTTGCTACCTCAAGCCCTAATGGAAGGGGATTCCCCTTCTAAACATTAACAACTTCGACACACTCCCCTCCTCCCATCCCATCAATCATCACCAGATTTTCATTAAAGGTAAGTGTCATGTATTCTATTGTTAGTAGAGTACTACAAACTGTGCATGTTTTCTTCAGTTTGTGTGCATGAAACTTAATATTTCATGTGGTAAAATTTTTATTTTCATACTTTTGGGTGTCTTGCACGGATTAATTTGATTTCCATTATTTCTTATGGGGAAAATTGATTCGGTTTTCGATAATTTGGGTTTACGATGATCTCTCAGGAACGGATTAATATCGCAAACCGGGGGTCCACCGTATTGCTTTGGTTATTGTCCGTTTCAGATTTAGACTGACCTTCTGGAACGTACTAAGGACGAAATCTGGGGTTCCACTGTATGGTGATATCATGACAGTGATTTCAGGCATTAGCCAGAGAGATAAAACATCATTTAACCCTTAAACTGTCCAAGCATAGATCTGTGTTCACTCTCCCAGCACTCTGAATATTTTGAAAAAAAAACAAAAATTAAAGAGGGCCATTTTCTGTGTGTAGTAAGATAAAAAAAAAAAAATTTAGGACCAGTACTTACCGAGATATAAGACCTCGAAGTTGGCGCTGGATGCTCGCCTGACTGCAACATCGAATCCTGCCGTTTGCAGAAGTGTTGCCAATATACCTTTTTTTCTTGTTTTTATTTTAATTTATATACAGTAGACTGTCATTTAACACAGTAGTTACGTTCCTGAAATGCCGTGTTAGGCAAAACCGTGTTAGACAAACTGAAGAACTTATGGAAAAAATAGGATTACGTTCCTAATAGCCCCCAAAAAGCCAAACAACTTTTTTTTAGATCAACAGATCTTACAAAAATAAAAGTGAATATGTAATTGTAGTTCATTGTTGTGATGTATTATGTTGTTTTTACTGCATAAGATTACAAATGCAATAGAAATAATAGTATTTCTTACTTTAAATTGTGGGTGCTGGTGTTTGTGGATGATTGTGAAGAGAGTGGAGAGTTATGTTGTGGTCCTACTGGGCTGAGGTGGATGGTAGAGATTCTGGTACTGAAGTCGATGGTAGTACTGGAGTGTGCATAAATTCTGTAAGGGATTTCTGTTCTATTGACGGTAAGGCATCAGCTGCTCTAGACACCGTTTCAGGGTCCTCTTCAGTGAAAAAGCCTAACTTTAAGTTATTCAGTAAGTCAAATCAGTCAGTCAAGTCAGTAAGTCAATCAGTCAAGTCAATATGTCATTCAGTCAGGTTAGTAAGTCAAATCATTCAATAAGTCAAGTCATTCAGTCAAGTCAGTCAGTAAGTCAGTCAGTCAAGTCAGTAAGTCAGTTAGTCAGTCATCCAGTCATCACACAAACCCATATTTACCTCATTCTTTTTATGTACAAAATGACGCTACAGGCTATCTCTTGTCTAATATCTCTATTTTCTTCGTTAATTCTAAAACTTAAATGCTTAACCCTTAAACGGTCCAAATGTATATATATGTTCTCTCGTGTAGCGCCCCAAACGTATATATACATTTCCTTTGTCATTCATTCAACATTAGCACGATAAGCCTGAGTCACCTAGACATGAGAGAATGGGTGTGTGCACTCACTGTGTGCCATAGGAAAAATTTGGGGACTCCTGGGTACCATATGCTTTATTTATTTATTTTTTTTTTTTTTTTTCTCCAAAAGTTTGGGGCGCTACGCGAGAGAACGTATATATATGTTTGGACCGTTTAAGGGTTAAACATTTTTTTGCAACTTCAGCAACACTTGTATGCTTACCGGGTGCCATGATTGCTTGGCAGATTTAAGATATGTCATTTAATACATATTTAAACAAACACAGCGAGCTACTAGCACAGGTTTGTCCAACACATGTATGAACCAACTGAAGGCTGGGAGTGTGGTGGGGGTGGCTGATGCTGGCAAGGGATGGCAGTAGGTCTCTCCTGTTGACTCAATGATGCAACCTACAGCCCATCCTGCCCCGCAAGTGACTGCATGCTCAAAATTTTTTCCCCTCCCGCAACCGTGTTAAATTAATTTTACGATGTGTTAAACAAAAATATGCCACAATTCTTCAGTCGTGCTATAACCAAAATGTACCAGATAATTTCAATTTATAATTTCAATTTATAATAGTTCTTGTGATTTCATAGCTAAACTTTGTTCTGATACTAATATTAGATACTGAAATAGTACTCAAATAGTCACAATCACACTGACAAGTGAACATTTTCACCTGCCTTGGTCATTTACTATTGTCTAGAAATATATACAAAGTATTTATAGGTCTCAGCAATGTTTTAGACATGCTGGAGTATATATCAAACTCCTTGAAGCATGGTGTAAGACTGAGTGTCACTAAACTGCTGACAGTGCAGCAGTGGTTTGACACTTGATGATCGTGCATTGCTGCAGAGAACCCCTGGCTTTGTTTGTTTTCACTGTTACACATAAATATGTCTCTGTCTATCTATCTAGCTCTGTCTTCCTGTCTGCCTGTGTGTCTGTCTTTCTCTCTGCCTGCATGTGTTTGTCTTTCTGTCTGCCTGTGTGTGTCTTGGTCTTTCTGTGTGAATGTGTGTCTCGGTCTTTCTTTCTGCCTTTGTGTGTCTGTCGTTCTGTCTGCCTGTTTGTGTCTCTTTCTGTGTGTGTGTGTGTGTGTGTGTGTGTGTGTGTGTGTGTGTGTGTGTGTGTACGTACTTTTGTGTGGTTGGTACTTGTCTTCAATAAATGTATGACAGAGAGGAATGTACCTAGGGACTGATAGAGAGTATAAGAAATATAGGGAAATAAGCCTACCTATTACACCAGGTAAAGGGTATGGTAGTATTATTGATGAATTAATTAAGGTAAAGACAGAGAGTGGAATCACAGATAAACAGGGAGGCTTTAGAATGGGTAGGGGATGTGTAGACCATGTGTTTACATTGAAGCATATAAGTAAACAATATTTAGATAAAGTTAGGAAAGTTTTCATTGCTTTTATGGATTTAGAAAAGGCATATGGTGGGGTGGATAAAGAAGCTGTATGGCAGATGTTGCAAGTATATGGATTAGGCTGTAGTTTACTGAATGCTGCTAACAGTTTTTACAAGGATAGTGAGGTTCAGGTTAGGGTGTGTAGGAGAGAGGGAGATTATTTTCCAGTAAAAACAGGCCTTAGACAGGGACATGTGATGTCACCATGGTTGTTTAACGTATTTATAGATGGGGTTGTAAAGAAGGTGAATACTTTGGTGTTGGGGAGAAGGGTGGGATTAAAATATGTGGAATCAAATACAAAATGGGAATTGACACAGTTACTTTTTGCTGATAATACTGTGCTTTTGGGAGATACTGAGAAGTTGCAAAGATTAGTGGATGAGTTTGGGAGGGTGTGTAAAAGAAATTGAAAATGAACATAGATGAAGGTGATGAGGGTAACAAATGAGTTAGGTAGTGAAAGGTTGGATATCAGATTGGAAGGAGTGAGTATGGAGGAAGTGAATGTGCTCAGATGTTTGGGAGTGGACTTGTTGGTAGATGGGTATATGAGAAGACAGGGTAAACCATAGAATTTATAAAGGTGCATTAAGGTATCTGTGGAGACAAAGAATGTTATCCATAGAGGCAAGGAGGGGAATGTATGAGAGTATGGTGGTACCAACACTCTTATGTGGATGTGAAGCATGGGTTGTGAATGTTGCAGCGTGAAGGAGATGGGAGGCAGTGGCGATATTGTGTCAGAGGGCAGTGGGTGGTGCAAATATTATACAGAGTTTGGAGATTAGGAGGAGATGCAGAGTTAATAAAACTATTATCCAGAGGGCTGAGGAGGGTTTGTTGAAGTGGTTTGGCCATTTAGAGAGGAGCAAAATAGGATGACTTGGAGGGTATATAAATCTTTAGTGGAGGGAAGGCAGAGTAGGGGTTGTTCTATTGAAGGATGGAGGTGGGGGAGTAAAGGAGGTTTCATGTTCAAGGGGCTTGGACATACAGCAGACATATGAGAATATTAGGATTGGAGGCAAATGATTTTTTGGACCTGATGAGCTGTTGGACTGTGAGCAAGGTAATATTTTGTGAAGGGATTCAGGGAAACCAGTTAGCTGGACTTGGGTCTTGCAGGTGGGAAGTACACTCTGAAGGGATGGTGGCTATATTTGCTGTTTGGAGGAACATCTGAACTGTCGTATCTACATGCCTCTGGAAAGGCAGTGATAGTGTGAATGGTGGTGAAAGTGTTTCTTTTTTGGGTCACCCTTCCTTGGTGTGAGACAGCCAGCATTTAAAAAAACAAAATTGTGACATTATTTACAATCTTGATTGGACAGTGTATTATTTAAGAAAAGATGTTTGTAATACAGTGAATTTTGGAAAGAATACATTGTATGCTTTTAATCTTACAGGCTGTAAGAAAATATTCCATTCAAGATGCATAAAAGCTTCAATCAGTGTAGTGTGCCATGATAATTCAAACTTGGGTAAAGAAAACGCCAGTCCATTGAACAAGAAGCCTCGACGGATTGATCAAGAAGACAACTGGAACCTCACCAGAACGTCAGAATTCATTGATAAATCTGATGAAGTGATTAAAGATGCTTATGAACTAAGACGGCTCGAGGAGTATATTAGACGCAAGGTAATGTGTTGTAGTATAGCAAACATTTACCTTCATTAATATTCTTTCTTTAGGATAGGTGACATAGTGATAACAATATTTTTATTTTGCATTTTCTTGGACATAGTAGTTATGTGTAGATCTGGAGAGCTGGTTTCTTTGTGTCTAGGTATGAAAATCTAAGATGTGTTTTTATGATGTCAGTTAAAAAAGTGAGTTAATATTTTTGAGAGTAAATTTAAAATAGACATTTTGGCTGTTAGTATGTTGATTTATGCACATCTTGCTAAATTCATTTAAATAAAAGCTAAATTATCATCTGTATATTATTGTTATACAGTACATTATTTATTGAGAACTATATTTTTCAAACAGTTGTATGATCTTGAGGAGAAAGAAAGTGAGAAGGCAGATGTTCGCACCCAAAGTCTTGACCGCAGTTTTTCTCGAGATTCATCAAGCAGAGAATTTGAAGCAAGTATTCGTTTACGGGACCGAAAAGACTCACAAGTGGACCAGATGTTCTGTCAGTCACTACGTGAATTTAAAAACAATTTAGTCTCTACGTATTCTGTCGCATTTCAGAGGGAATCGGCAGACCTAACCCTCAAGTACAAGGATCTCATTAAAAATTTTGAACAGGTTTGTAGTAATCAGTTGTCACTTTTGACTGTTTTGGAATCTTAAGTATATACACCTCTCAGTCTTCTCCTAGTCATTTTTGATGATTCAGGTAAAGCATTGAAAAGGTATTTCTTTAACCCTTTCACTGTTGGTGCTGTGGCACTATGGCTTATGAGCCAGTGTTGGTGCTGTGGCACTATGGCTTATGAGCCAGTGTTGGCACTGTGGCACTATGGCTTTTGAGCCAGTGTTGGTGCTGTGGCACTATGGCTTATGAGCCAGTGTTGGTGCTGTGGCACTATGGCTTTTGAGCCAGTGTTGGTGCTGTGGTACTATGCCAAAATTCTAGCAGCTTCAAATCTAGCGGGAGAAAGCTGGTAGGCCTACATGTGAGAGAATGAGTCTGTGGTCAGTGTGTGGAGCATAAAAAAAACTGGGGACCCAGTGGTGCATTGTGGGAATGCCATTTCAGTAGTCCTTGTTCAGCATGCCTAAAGGTAAGAAATATCTGACTCCCCAGCAAATATGGGACTCTTCTCTTCCCAAGTGACAGTTCTAACACAGATGGAAGTGTCAGTGAACTTGAATTTCATGGTTTTGAGGAGTTTGTGACCGAAAGCAATGCCCAGGATACCAGATACAGATAGTGGAAAGGGAAGACAGTGTGGGTGGTTGGGTAGGCAGCTTGGGTGTTGGGAAGGCAGCTTGGATGGTGGGGAAGACATCGTGGATGGTGGGGAAGATGGTGTGGGTGGTGGGGAAGGCAGTGTGGATTTGGTAAACAAGTTTTGTAAACATTGTAATGATAATGTTTGTGCCGTGATTGTGTTGCATACAATGAGTGGATGTATATACATTATGCATTATATTGGTCTCACAGGCCACAAAAGTTACTTGAAAAAAATAAAATATAAGAAAAGAAAAAAGTAGAATAAAAGTAAAAATAATATTACTGAGTGGCAGTCGCCGATGTTGCCATAAGCGGTTCACTTTGTCAACTTCACGCCTCTATATCTCAGTAAGTGCTGATCGCAATTTTTTTTTTCTTTTAAAACGATCAGAAAAATATTCTTAAGATTTTGGTAAGATTTTTTTTTTTTTTTTTTTTTTTTTCAACACTGAGAGCAGGTGTGTGATCAGAGGTCTCAACAGTGAAAGCGTTAAGTAGTGTGAGGTAGCGAGTCATAGTTGAATTTAGAATTTAATAAGACAGGGTATTCATAGATAAAGGTAGGGAAGTTTTTATTGCATTTATGGATTTAGAAAAGGCATATGATAGAGTGGATAGAGGAGCAATGTGGCAGATGTTGCAAGTATATGGAATAGGTGGTAAGTTATTAAATGCTGTAAAGAGTTTTTATGAGGATAGTGAGGCTCAGGTTAGGGTGTGTAGAAGAGAGGGAGACTACTTCCCGGTAAAAGTAGGTCTTAGACAGGGATGTGTAATGTCACCATGGTTGTTTAATATATTTATAGATGGGATTGTAAAGGAAGTAAATGCTAGGGTTTCGGGAGAGGGGTGGGATTAAATTTTGGGGAATCAAATTCAGAATGGGAATTGACACAGTTACTTTTTGCTGATGATACTGTGCTTATGGGAGATTCTAAAGAAAAATTGCAAAGGTTAGTGGATGAGTTTGGGAATGTGTGTAAAGGTAGAAAGTTGAAAGTGAACATAGAAAAGAGTAAGGTGATGAGGGTGTCAAATGATTTAGATAAAGAAAAATTGGATATCAAATTGGGGAGGAGGAGTATGGAAGAAGTGAATGTTTTCAGCTACTTGGGAGTTGACGTGTCAGCAGATGGATTTATGAAGGATGAGGTTAATCATAGAATTGATGAGGGAAAAATGGTGAGTGGTGCGTTGAGGTATATGTGGAGTCAAAAAACGTTATCTATGGAGGCAAAGAAGGGAATGTATGAAAGTATAGTAGTACCAACACTCTTATATGGGTGTGAAGCTTGGGTGGTAAATGCAGCAGTGAGGAGACGGTTGGAGGCAGTGGAGATGTCCTGTTTAAGGGCAATGTGTGGTGTAAATATTATGCAGAAAATTCGGAGTGTGGAAATTAGGAAAAGGTGTGGAGTTAATAAAAGTATTAGTCAGAGGGCAGAAGAGGGGTTGTTGAGGTGGTTTGGTCATTTAGAGAGAATGGATCAAAGTAGAATGACATGGAAAGCATATAAATCTATAGGGGAAGGAAGGCGGGGTAGGGGTCGTCCTCGAAAGGGTTGGAGAGAGGGGGTAAAGGAGGTTTTGTGGGCAAGGGGCTTGGACTTCCAGCAAGCGTGCGTGAGCGTGTTAGATAGGAGTGAATGGAGACGAATGGTACTTGGGACCTGACGATCTGTTGGAGTGTGAGCAGGGTAATATTTAGTGAAGGGATTCAGGGAAACAGGTTATTTTCATATAGTCGGACTTGAGTCCTGGAAATGGGAAGTACAATGCCTGCACTTCAAAGGAGGGGTTTGGGATATTGGCAGTTTGGAGGGATATGTTGTGTATCTTTATATGTGTATGCTTCTAAACTGTTGTATTCTGAGCACCTCTGCAAAAACAGTGATAATGTGCGAGTGTGGTGAAAGTGTTGAATGATGATGAAAGTATTTTCTTTTTGGGGATTTTCTTTCTTTTTTGGGTCACCCTGCCTCGGTGGGAGATGGCCGACTTGTTGAAAAAAAAAAAAATCATAGAGTAGAGTAGAATGTTAGAATTAATGTTAAACTGTAGTGTATTGGATCATGAAATTATTGTAACTTAATTGTAAATGACTCTAGTAATTTACTAGGGCAAGTCAGTCTTAAAACTGGTCCCCTGCTACTTTTATAACTGGCCTGTTATTAGTTTGAATCCTGCCTCTTCTGTGAATAGTGATGCATTAACCCCTTGACTGTCGCAACCCCCAATCCTGAGGTGTCTCCTGGTGTCGCAAAATTTCCAAAAAAAAAAAATTATTTTTTCTTGTGAAATGATAGAGAATCTTTTCCCGATTGTAAAGACACCAAAAAAAAAAAACGAAATTTGATGGAAAACTGATGGAATTACGCTCTCGCGAAGTTAGCGACCGCGGCGATATTTACAAATCGGCGATTTCGCCCACTTTGAGCCCTATTTTCGGCTAATTCCATTATTCCAGTCAACCAAACTCATAGCTATTTCTTCAGAGCTCCATTTTTTCTATCGATTGAGTACAAGAAACTGCCCATTTACCGATTTCAACTACCCAATAACATGGTCAGAAATTTTCAATTTGGCCAATTTCACGAAAATTAAAAAATATGACAATTTCAAAATAAGGACCAGAATGAACAATGCAGACATTCCTGGCTCTAAAATAACATTTTCTTTGTTCATCAGTCATGTCTCCAGGCCCCTCTGATATTACTCTTGCTTTTTATTTTGAAATTTTATTCAAACAAAAAATAGAAGATTTACTGTTATGCAGACTACTGCAATACTGTAAAAATTACATCAAGCCATTCATGACTGCATATTAGAATGGCTATTTGGACATTTATTGGACAATGACATCATTTATTTACTTCTGAACATCGGCAAAAATCAAACATTTCCCGTACTTTGTGCTCCATTTCCAGGTTCTTTTTATAGTAAAATCAATCAAAATCACCTCTATTTCTATAATATATTTTCCATTCTATCAAATGAGACCAAGAAAACGAGACTACAACCATAAATACTATACGGAAATAGACCACAAAGTCGGCATTTTAATTACAAAAAAACGGCCGGAGTTTTTTTTTCTCATTATGCACTGCATGCTCCAGGATTTTTTTTATATGGTGCACACTGACCACACAGACCCATTCTCTCACATGTGGGCCTACCAGCTTTCTCCTGCTTGATTTGAAGCCGCTTGAATTTATGAGTATATATACGTCAAACACGGTACCTCGTAAGACGTATATATACGGCCGCGACAGTCAAAGGGTTAATGATGAGATTTGATGAGTTTTATACAAATACTATATGTGATTTTTTAAGTGTTTTAGATGATATTTTATTTAAGAGTACAGTAATAAAAAATATGTTGGCTTAGCCAGTCATCAGCAAGACAAGCAGGCAGTGACCGATAAAGAATTGTAGACTTATATTTACGCTCTTGTTGCTGTCTCTCTCTTCCTGCTTTTGGTACATGTACACTCTCCCTTCCACTTCTGCCTGCCTTCCTCCCTTCCACCTCTGCCTGCCTTCCTCCCATCTCTGCCTGCCTTCCTCCTATCTCTGCCTGCCTTCCTCCCACCTCTGCCTGCCTTCCTTCCACCTCTGCCTTCTTCCCTTCAATCTCTGCCTTCCTCCCTTCCACCCTCTTTCACTCACCCCCTCTCCCACACACTCATCAAAACACCCTCCAGCATCACTCCATTTAACATCTTTTCATCACCTTGCCTTGTCTCTGAGCTCAGGCTGATTCACCTGCCAACAGTTGTACATGTACATGAAATTTTTCATCACAACTGAAAACTGAATTCCAATATTAGGGTAAATAATAACTCAACATTCTCATAACTAAAGCCCATCATAACTCAAGGAACCACTGTATAACTATGAGAGCATTTGTAGCCATGGACAAACAGTGTTTGGTGTCTCAGTATCATGGGTATGTGAGGAATATAGTGTTAAGAAACAATCAGCATTTAGTGTCTCAGTGGCATATCATCTCAGCCATCAACATTATTTTCACTAGTGCAGCTTTACAGTTTCCCTTACCCAGAATAAACATTATTCTGAGTCTCCACTATTGATCATGGCAGTTTATTATACAGTACAGTACCGTACTATAATACTACAGGTTACAATAACCATCTTAGTGTCTTGTTGTCTCTGAACCAGTGGATTTAGTCTGTTGGTTCAGAAGACAGCTGAATGATCATGAAAATTAATTTCAAAATTCAGAAGATTTGGACAGTCAGCAGTATCGCATACCCACCTCCCTTTGTAAGTCTGTTAATTTAAGATTCACTGTACTTCTCACCTCTTGGATTTAAGTCTGGCCAACCAGTTTATCTGAATCCCTTCATAAATGTTACCTTGCTCACACTCCAACAGTACATCAAGTCATAAAAACACATGCCTGCACTCACTCCAATCTAATTCACTCAGACGAGCCTTTTGGAGGCTCACACTTTTATTACTCAAATCCTCTTTTATCCCCTCCCTTCATCCCTGTCTGGGACAACCCCTACCTTTCCTTCCCTCCACCTGAGATTTATATACCTGCTTTGTCATTGCATTTTGCTCCATCTTTACTGAATGCCAAAGGCTCTTCAACAATTCCTCCTCAGTCCTCTGAATTTTACTGTAGGCAACCTTAACCACCTCTGAGTGCTCTGCATAATATTCACACCACACATAGCTTTCAAATACAACACTGCGATTGCCTCCAGTCTCATCCTCACTGCACTGTTTAAAACCTATGCTTCATACCCATATAACAGTGCTGGTACCACTGCACTTTGGTGCTTTCCTCTCTTTACCTTTGTGGATAAAGTTCTTTGTCTCTGCAGATGCTTCCCCCCCATCCTCATTTATTCTTTAGTTCCTCTCATTTTTAAGAAACCCATCTGCCAACAACTCCATTCCCAGCTATCTGAACACATTAACTTCTTCCATACTGTTTCTCTCCAATCTGATATCCAGTCTTTCATCACCCAAGTTTTTTGTTACTCTCATCACCTTATTCCTTCCTGTGTTCACTTTGAATTTACTTCTTTTATATACATTGACAAATTAATCCACCATCCTATACAACTTCTCTTCAGAATCTCCCAAAAGAAGTGATTTGCCAAAAACCAAATGTAACAGCTCCAGCTTTGTATAAAATTAATTTTTCCATACCTCTCCCAAACGCTAAAGCATTCAGTACCTTTACAACCCCTTCTGCAGATATATTAAACAACCATGGTGCTATCACACTTTCTTGTCTAAGGCCTTCTTTTACTTGAAAATCATATCCTCCCCTCTCCTTTTTGAATAAAAACTACTGCTTTTAGTAACCTACTACCTATTCCATACACTTGGAAAATCTGCCACATTGCTTCCCTATCCACCCTTCCCTATCCATTGTTTCTAATTTGAATTTGTAATGGTTATTGGTTGAGGTGGGTTACTGAATTTTATCCCTATGCATACATCCCTTATGTAATGTTTGGGTAAATGAGAGGGAAGTCGAATGTTAGCAGTGTAAGTTGGAAACGCAGTATTCTGGCAAAAGCTCATCAAATATGTTTATAATTTTGTTGTTTTTATGTGTTTATTTCAGGTGATGAACACTGTATGCAAGGAAAAAATGGGCAACGATACTTTCCCGGTGACGATGGGTGTTAATGCATTTCGGGGTTTCCTTGATGAATTTATACGAGAGAAAAAGAAACCAGTTGAAGACAAATCTAGAAGAAAAAGACATAGACGTAAAAAGAGAAAGGTATGGTATCATTATTATGAATGAAAAGAAGCTGGATGTCCTGGCTCTAAGTGAAAAAAAGCTGAAGGGGTTAGGAGAGTTTCAGTGGGGAGAAATAAAAGAGATTAGGTCAGGGGTTTCTAATAGAGTTAGAGCTAAGGAAGGAGTAGCAAAAATGTTGAAGAATCAGTTATGGCAGGAAATAAGGGAGTATAAATATATAAATTAAAGAATAAAGATTTTATTTCTTTGCAAAGGTTACATGTGTAATTTTGATTTCTTAAGTTCAAAGAAAGCCACTACCATGCCAGGGCATTTTGGGCAGACTAATCCAAGCACATAATAACTACTTAAAGTCAAGACAGGATAAGAGTGATTAACTCTTTATTTTATCTTAATACTAATGTGAGGTAGTCAAGGTGGAGGTTTGTAAATATAATAACCTTGAAGTTGCACATAAAAACAATACATGTATTACAATTAATGATTCAAACAGTAATATTTTATGGACTGGCAGATGTTTTAATAGACTAGAAGTCATATAATATAATATTTGGGAGAGTTGCTTCAAACTGATTAGAAGTTGTTTTGGTTGGTTTAGTTAGTATTGAGAGATGAGATGATTTTTAAGCATAGCCCTAAATTTGTACGGTGTCAAGGGATCCTTTACCAGTTCAGGTAGTGAATTCCAGATCTTCAGGCCCTGTGTATGCATTGCGTTTTTGTATCAAAACTGTAATTCTTCCCTACCAAACTTATTAAAACCATATAACATGAACTAATAGACTAATCAATTTTCTTGTATTCATTGTAACTCACCTAATGACCATATGTACAATTACTGCACTGTTATTGCTTTATTAATCTTAAGTTAGTCTTAAGTTGGCCCAAAATACTCTGCATTTAAAGGGGCTTTTGGCATGTACACCCAGTTGTTATACTCCTTTGTACAAACATGTATCATGCTAAAATAAAATTATTATTATCGTTATTATTATTAGTATGAGACTGACACAAAGGATGTTGAAGAGTGCCCTATGCCTTGTATTGTGACTGTGCATTCTGTTGTAGCTATCAAGGAGAAGTTTAAGCAGAGGGTTTTTTTTTTTTTTTTTTTTTTTCAACACATCAGTCATCTCCCACCAAGGCAGGGTGACCCAAAACGAAACAAAATCCCCAAAAAGAAAATGCTTTCATCATCGTTCAACAGTTTCACCTCACTCATACATAATCACTGTCTTTGCAGAGGCACTCAGATACGACAGTTTAGAAGTCCCTCCAAACTGCCAATATCCCAAACCCCTCCTTTAAAGTGCAGGCATTGTACTTCCCATTTCCAGGACTCAAATCCAGCTAACAGGTTTCCCTGAATCCCTTCACAAAATATTACCCTGCTCACATTCCAACAGCTTGTCAGGTCCCAAAAACCATTCGTCTCCATTCACTCCTATCTAACACGCTTACAAATGCATGCTAGAAGTCCAAGTCCCTCGCCCACAAAACCACCTTTACCCCCTCCCTCCAATCTTTTCGAAGTTGACCCCTACCCCTCCATCCTTTCTCTAGAGATTTCTACGTTCTCCAAGTCACTCTACTTTGAGAAATTCTCTCTAAATGACCAAACCACCTCAACAACCTCTCTTCAGCCCTCTGATTAATACTTTTAGTAACTCCACATCTCCTCATAATTTTTACACTCTGAATTCTCTGCATAATATTTACACTAACATTGCCCTTAGACAGGACATCTCCACTGTTTCCAGCCGCCTCCTCGCTGCAGCATTTGCAACCCAAGCTTCACACCCATATAAGAGCGTTGGTACCACTATACTTTCGTACATTCCCTTCTTTGCCTCCATGGATAATATTTTTTGTCTCCACAGATACCTCAATGCACCACTCACCTTTTTTCCTTCATCAATTCTAGGGTTAACCCCATCCTTCATTAACCTATCCACTGACAAGTCAGCTCCCAAATACATATCTGAAAACATTCACTTCTTCCATAATTCCTCTTTCCAATGTGATATTCAATTTTTCTATATCTAAATTGTTTGATACCCTCATCACCTTACTCTTATCTATGTTCACTTTCAACTTTCTACTTTACACACCCTCCCAAATTCGTCCACTAACCTCTGCAATTTTTCCTTAGAATCTCCCATAAGCACAGTATCATCAGCAAAAAGTAATTGTGTCAACTCCCATTTTGTGTTTGATTCCCCATAATTTAATCCCACCCCTCTCCCCAACACCCTAGCATTTACTTCTTTTACAACCCCATCTATAAATATATTAAACAACCATGGTGACATTACACATCCCTGTCTAAGAACTACTTTTACCGGGAAGTAGTCTCCCTCTCTCTTACACACCCTAACCTGAGCTTCACTATCCTCACAAACACTCTTTACAGCATTTAGTAACTTACTACCTGTTCCATATACCTGCAACATCTGCCACATTGCTCCCCTATCCACTCTATCATATGTCTTTTCTAAATCCATAAATGCAATGAAAACTTCCCTCCCTTTGTCTAAATACTGTTTGCATGTGCTTCAATGTAAACACTTGATCTACACATCCCCTACCCACTCTAGAGCCTCCTTGTTCATCTGCAATCTTACTCTCTGTCTTACCTCTAATTCTTTCAATAATAACCCTACCATACTCTTGACCTGGTATACTCAGTAAACTTCTTCTTCTTTCAACGTACCAGCTGTATCCCACCGAGGTGGGGTGGCCCAAAAGGAAAAACGGAAGTGTCTCCTCTCAAATTTAGTAATATATACAGGAGAAGGGGTTACTAGCCCCTTGCTCCCAGCATTTTAGTCGCCTCTTACGACACGCATGGCTTACAGAGGAAGAATTCTGTTCCACTTCCCCATGGAGATAAGAGGAAATAAACAAGAACAAGAACTAGAAAGAAAATAGAAGAAAACCCAGAGGGGTATGTATATATATGCTTGTACATGTATGTGTAGTGTGACCTAAGTGTAAGCAGAAGTAGCAAGACATACCTGAAATCTTGCATGTGTATGAGACAGAAAAAAAAAGGCACCAGCAATCCTACTATCATGTAAAACAATTACAGGCTTCCGTTGTACATTCACTTGGCAGGATGGTAGTACCTCCCTGGGCGGTTGATGTCTACCAACCTACTACCTACAACTCAGTAAACTGATTCCCCTCTACTTTTTACTATCTCCTTTGTCTCCCTTCCCTTTATATGAAGGAACTATACATGCTCTCTGCTAATCCCTCGTTCATACATTTCTTTCTTTCTTTCAACACACCGGCCGTATCCCACCGAGGCGGGGTGGCCCAAAAGGAAAAATTAAAGTTTCTCCATTTTCATTTAGTAATATATACAGGAGAAGGGGTTACTAGCCCCTTGCTCCCGGCATTTTAGTCGCCTCTTACAACAAACATGGCTTATGGAGGATGAATTCTCTTCCACTTCCCCATGGAGATAAGAGGAAATAAACAAGAACAAGAACTAGAAAGAAAATAGAAGAAAACCCAAAGGGGTGTGTATATATATGCTTGTACATGTATGTGTAGTGTGACCTAAGTGTAAGTAGAAGTAGCAAGACATACCTGAAATCTTGCATGTGTATGAGACAGAAAAAAAAAAAGACGCCAGCAATCCTACCATCGTGTAAAACAATTACAGGCTTCTGTTGCACATTCACTTGGCAGGACGGTAGTACCTCTCTGGGTGGTTGATGTCTACCAACCTACTACCTACAACTCAGTAAACTGATTCCCCTATAATTTTTACTATCTCCTTTGTCTCCCTTCCCTTTATATGAAGGAACTATACATGCTCTCTGCTAATCCCTCTTTCATACATTTATTAAACAAAAATACCAACCACTCCAACACCATATCCCCCCTTGCTTTTAACATTTCTGTCATGATCCCGTCAGTTCCAGCTGCTTTACCTCCTTTCATTCTACATAATGCCTCACACATATTTAGTAGGTTCAGGCTTTTGAAAAGTGGTGGAGTGTGCTGTCTGGCACAGAAACTGGTAAACCTCCGAACAGCAGCTTTTTATTGGGTTATTAAAGGTTTGAGATGGTTGGCTGTGGTTGATCCCCAGGCACAAATACTATAGGTGAGGTAGGGATATATTAAAGAGTGGTATAGGGTAAGGAGCATCATTTGGGGTACATATATGCTGGATGTGGGAATGAAATTTAAGATTACACTCAAGGTGAAGGCCTAGACATTTACCCTCAGTGTGTCTTGTAATGGGGGAACCATTTATCTATATATTAAGTTAGATATTTAAGGCTCTGTTTCCATATAGCATGAAGTTTGTTTTGTCTATATTGAGAGTGAGTTTGTTGGTCATCATCCAAGTATATATTTTGAGTAACTTGCTGTTTACAATGTTTGAGTGGGAGTAGACATAAGTAGTGTCATCTGCAAATAGAACTGGTTTAAGGACTTGAGATGCATTGGGGAGATCATTGATGTAGATGAGAAAGAGGAGTGGGCCTAAGACACTACCTTGGGGCACTCCAACAGCTACAATGTGGATAGTGGAGTTGACTCCATTTGTGTTTACATACTGATGTCTGTTGTTAAGATAAGATTTTAGGTAATCAAGGGAATGTCCTCTGATGCTGTAATGATTTAGTTTTTAGGTGCAGGAGATTGTTGTCCGCTGTATCAAATGCTTTCCGTAGGTCAGTGAAGAGCCCCAGGAGATATTCATTTTTATTGAGGGCTGTATATATTAGTTCAAGCATTTGTATAATAGCATCATTCATACTTTGTTTTGATCTAATCTCAAACTGGCAGGAGTTAGTATGTTGTTAGATATAAGGTAGGAGTAAAGTCATTTGTGTATTATTTTTTTTAATATTTTCAAAAGTAAGGGCAAGTTTGATATAGGTATATAGTTGTTCAGATCAGTTGGATCACCTCTTTTGAGGATCGGGGTAACTCAAAAATTCAAGAATTATGTGGAGTAAAATAAGGGTCTGATGTAAAAAGTGGGTTATAAT